TATAGATTTAAGAAATTAACAGCAGAGCAGAATAAAACACAACCACTCGCTATGACTGTAGAATGAATAATAATAATAATAATAATAATAATAATAATAATAATAATAATAATAATAATAATAATAATAATAATAATAATAATAATAATAATAATAATAATAATAATAATAATAATAATAATAATAATAATAATAATAATAATAATAATAATAATAATAATAATAATAATAATAATAATAATAATAATAATAATAATAATAATAATAATAATAATAATAATAATAATAATAATAATAATAATAATAATAATAATAATAATAATAATAATAATAATAATAATAATAATAATAATAATAATAATAATAATAATAATAATAATAATAATAATAATAATAATAATAATAATAATAATAATAATAATAATAATAATAATAATAATAATAATAATAATAATAATAATAATAATAATAATAATAATAATAATAATAATAATAATAATAATAATAATAATAATAATAATAATAATAATAATAATAATAATAATAATAATAATAATAATAATAATAATAATAATAATAATAATAATAATAATAATAATAATAATAATAATAATAATAATAATAATAATAATAATAATAATAATAATAATAATAATAATAATAATAATAATAATAATAATAATAATAATAATAATAATAATAATAATAATAATAATAATAATAATAATAATAATAATAATAATAATAATAATAATAATAATAATAATAATAATAATAATAATAATAATAATAATAATAATAATAATAATAATAATAATAATAATAATAATAATAATAATAATAATAATAATAATAATAATAATAATAATAATAATAATAATAATAATAATAATAATAATAATAATAATAATAATAATAATAATAATAATAATAATAATAATAATAATAATAATAATAATAATAATAATAATAATAATAATAATAATAATAATAATAATAATAATAATAATAATAATAATAATAATAATAATAATAATAATAATAATAATAATAATAATAATAATAATAATAATAATAATAATAATAATAATAATAATAATAATAATAATAATAATAATAATAATAATAATAATAATAATAATAATAATAATAATAATAATAATAATAATAATAATAATAATAATAATAATAATAATAATAATAATAATAATAATAATAATAATAATAATAATAATAATAATAATAATAATAATAATAATAATAATAATAATAATAATAATAATAATAATAATAATAATAATAATAATAATAATAATAATAATAATAATAATAATAATAATAATAATAATAATAATAATAATAATAATAATAATAATAATAATAATAATAATAATAATAATAATAATAATAATAATAATAATAATAATAATAATAATAATAATAATAATAATAATAATAATAATAATAATAATAATAATAATAATAATAATAATAATAATAATAATAATAATAATAATAATAATAATAATAATAATAATAATAATAATAATAATAATAATAATAATAATAATAATAATAATAATAATAATAATAATAATAATAATAATAATAATAATAATAATAATAATAATAATAATAATAATAATAATAATAATAATAATAATAATAATAATAATAATAATAATAATAATAATAATAATAATAATAATAATAATAATAATAATAATAATAATAATAATAATAATAATAATAATAATAATAATAATAATAATAATAATAATAATAATAATAATAATAATAATAATAATAATAATAATAATAATAATAATAATAATAATAATAATAATAATAATAATAATAATAATAATAATAATAATAATAATAATAATAATAATAATAATAATAATAATAATAATAATAATAATAATAATAATAATAATAATAATAATAATAATAATAATAATAATAATAATAATAATAATAGTAATAATAATAATAATAATAATAATAATAATAATAATAATAATAATAATAATAATAATAATAGTAATAATAATAATAATAATAATAATAGTAATAATAATAATAATAATAATAATAATAATAATAATAATAATAATAATAATAATAATAATAGAATAGAGTTTTATTGACATTCTACATATATACATACGTTTTTGCCATACAAATGAATAAAGTACAATAGTAAATTTATATAAGAGGTTAACATATTAAAAGATAAATTATATAAGATGTGACATAAAATGTTAAAATACAAAAGTTAAAATATAAAATTTAAAATATAGAAGTTAAAACATAAAAAGACGATTTAAATATAAAAAGTTGAAATACAAAAATATGGCATAAATATTAAACCATAATGTTACATTATAAAATTTTTAAAATCAATAACACTATAAAAACAATGTCTTAGTAAAAAGTTTTTTGCTAATTTTTTAAATGAGTTAATGCTCATTGATTTTATAGTGTTGTCATCATGTATACTAATAAATGTATTGTATAGATTAAGGTCTATCTTATTGACCTGGGTTGATCTTATCCTTGAGAACGGTACAATTAGGTTCTGTCCATTCCTTGTGTTATATGAATGAATGTCTGAGTGCGTTTTTAAATTCTGAATATTTTTGTGAATGAAGACCAGTGATTCTAAGACATAAACACAAGGTAAGGGCAGGATCCTGTACTTATGGAACAGTGGTCCACAATGCGCATCATATGGTACCATATCAATAGTCCTGACAGCAGCCTTTTGTAAATTAAAGACCTTGTACGAGTTGGGTGCATTTCCCCAAAGAAGGATGCCGTATGACATAACACTATGGACCATTGCGTAATAAACGGTTTTAATTGTTTTATTATCAAGAGAGGTCCTTAGCTGACGCATGGCAAATATCTGAGAGGAGAGTCTTCCACATAAGCTGTCAATATGATTAGACCAGTTTAAACTTGTATCTAGAGTTATACCAAGTAATTTTGCTGGTTCTGATTTTGATAACCATTTATCTGAACTAAATACTATGTTCTGTGTTTTTGACTCGTTTAGTTTTAGGTTGTTACAACTAAACCAAGTTTTCGCTGTTTTGAGCATTTCTCCTCTAAGATATTCACCATCTCTTGACAAAAGGGTAGTATCATCTGCGAAGAGAACACATCCTGTATTACCCAACGATAATGGGAGGTCGTTGACATAGACTAGAAATAAAATCGGCCCAAGTACGGAGCCTTGCGGGACTCCGTTTTTGATAGAAAGCAACTTTGAGTCCTTATCGTTAAGGCTTACAAGCTGTGTCCGCCCTGATAAGTAGGATTTAAAAAGTTCTAGGATACTTCCCCTTATGCCATAGTGTTCCAATTTTAAGAGTAGCGTTTCGACGTTAACACAATCAAAGGCCTTGGTGAGGTCGCACATTGCTGCGTGTGTAGGATGACCATCATCAAAACCCTCAACTATGTTGTCAATAACTGCAATTAAGGCTTTCATCGTTGAGCATTTTTTACGAAAACCGAATTGAGCCATTGTAAATAACGATTTATTTTCAAAATAGGATAATAATTTTCCTTTTATTAAGATTTCAAATATTTTTGAAATAATTGGCACTATGGCAATAGGTCTGAAGTTGTCAGGAATATCCGGATCTCCTTTTTTAAAAATTGGTAGAACTTTTGAAATTTTTAAGGCATCTGGCCAATATCCTTCGACCACACATTTATTGAAAAGGATCGCTAGTGGTTCAGTGAGTGTTGCAAGTGAAGCTTTCATCATTTGACTGTTTAGACCATAATAATCAAGGCAATTTGAGTTTTTAAGTGTCAATATAGCTTCTTTAATATCCGACACAATAACTGGTGCCATAAAGAAGGAAGTTGGTGGCCTAGGTAATTTAGATAAAAAATATTGAGGACTGACATTAATATTTCCTAATTCAATTGACTTAGTAATGATATCTGCTATATTAGTGAAAAAATGATTAAGTTCTTCAGGACACAAGGAAGTAAGGTTACTTTTTGTAGGAATTTCCTTCTTGACTAAACTCCAAACGGCTTTACTTTTATTTTCGGAATTTTCAATAATATTTGCATATGCTTTGCGTTTTTCCTCTTTTATTGCACGTTTGTATTCACTGCGTAAATTACAAAAAGTTTGCCAGTCTTGTGGTTCTTTACTAATATTAAAAAAATTTCTACTATTTTTTAATCTTTTTTTGATATCTCGCAGCCTCTCATTGAACCACTTCGGTCCTTGATTTTTAGAATGAACAACTTTAAATGGAAAACAAATATCACGTTGCGTACACAGGTTATTTAGTAATGAATTAGTCAAATTATCTGCACTATAATTAGTCATGGAAAAATCAGACCAATTTAAATTGTTAATATTATTAGCGAATTTACTTATTCTATCACTATTGACAACCCGTTTAGTAGTTGTATCGCAACTCGTATTTTTATAGCACCAATTTTTTATAGAAATAAACACACCACTATGATCTGCTATTAATGGTTCACATACTCCCGTTTCCATCTTATCAGGATTAATGTTAGTGATGATGTTATCCAGACAGGAACTGGTCGTTGCTGTAATTCTTGTAGGAGTTGTAATAAAATGTTGGAGACCATACATATGAAGAAAATTCCGGATATCCTTGGCATGCTCTGTATTACTCTCCATGTCCAAGTTGATATCACCCATTAGAATTATGTGCTTATATTTGATAAAAAGAAAATCAATCATGGCAAATAGTTTTTGTTTAAATATTAATAAATCTCCCTGGCTAGAAGATCTGTATATAGAGATTAGTATACTTTTAGATAGTTTAATTTCTGCACCACAAAATTCAGCATGCAGGGGAATGCAAAATTTTTTAAGATCAATTTCTTTCATTAAAATTTTGCTTGAACAAAAAATGGCTACCCCACCATGTTTTTTATTTTCCCTGCAGAAAGCAGAAATAAGATTAAATTGATCTAATTTTATTTTGTTTAGATTATCATAACAAAGCCAATGTTCGCTTACACAGAACACATCGTATTGATTCTGTTTAAAATATAAATTTAACTCATCAACCTTGTTAGCAATACTTCGGACATTCAGATGTAAAACAGAACAGGTCATCAAATTGTTTTGAAATTTAGTTGTATTCCCTCTGTTTGGTATTTTCAAATAAGTTTTGGAATTTATTGAATTGTCCTGTATTATTTGTCGTAGTGCCGTCCTGTTACTCTCTGACTTGTGAATTAATTCGCCTTGATGGAAAAAACCGGTTTAGATACACTTTACTGGGCCACATTTCCGACACAAGAATTTTATCTGATTCCCCTGAAGCAACCGTGATTTTAAATGATGAATACGCTGCAGGAAATCGACAATCCAATTTTTCCACCAAGGCACTTGGAGCAAAACTTTTTATGTATTTGTCTAGTTCTTCGACATCAACATCGGGCTCAAAATTTGTAGCGTAAAATTCCTTGACTATACGGGGTGCGGCAGCTTTAAATGGGCAGGTGTTGGCATCATCATTGCTGCCTACCAGAAGATTAGGTCTTCTTTTCTTATTACCAGATTGATTATGACTCCTGTTATTTCCCGGATTTACGTTATGATTAAGATTGATAATTTCATTACAAACAGTGTTAGCATTAGCCATATGAACTGCAGATGAAAGTGCTGATGGGGTAATTTTCCGATTTAGTTGGTTATTCGGAGAAATTTGTGTATTATTACTCGAAGGATGGGACTGTTTTGTTGCAGTCGATGAATTATTGTTGACCAATTTTAGAGCATTTGCAAAACTCGAATTGTCTGCATTATTTGCAACTGTTTTCACTCTAGCTTCCTTTAGTAAGTCAATTTGCTCGTTTAGAGAGGTTAGCGCTGTCTCCAAGCATTTTATGGTTAGATCTTTCTGATCTGCCAGTTCTTCTTGTTTTTTTATGGTTAGGTCTTTTTGTTTCAATAATTCTTCTAGGTAATGGATTTTCATTTTATCCGTCTCAGCTGAAACATCCACCAGTTTTTCATTTAGGACAGACTTCTTTTTTTCGGTGTCAACAGTACTGTCACAGCAAATAACTGTACCATCTGGCAAAAATTTGGCACTTCTAATTAATTTTAAACAGCAAGAATGGGATAGTTTACCACATTTGATACATTTCAAGCCTGTTTTTACGGAATTTTTACATCTGACACAGGTTTCCGGTGTGTTTTCCGACATAGTAGATAAATTTATATTGTCGTTACTAACAAGCCAAATACACAAAATTCGAAATTTAATTTAAGATCGCAGTTTTAAAGTTCGAACTTGCTAAAATGTTTACCGTGGTGGAATAGACACAGGTGTGTATGTAAAAAGAAACGATACGATAAGTTTTTAATTGTTTTCAATTATTGTACTCACAAATTCTTGTAGAACAAATCACTATATTCAAGATTTTTACTCTAATTTCAGTTTAATAATAATAATATAATAATAATAATAATAATAATAATAATAATAATAATAATAATAATAATAATAATAATAATAATAATAATAATAATAATAATAATAATAATAATAATAATAATAATAATAATAATAATAATAATAATAATAATAATAATAATAATAATAATAATAATAATAATAATAATAATAATAATAATAATAATAATAATAATAATAATAATAATAATAATAATAATAATAATAATAATAATAATAATAATAATAATAATAATAATAATAATAATAATAATAATAATAATAATAATAATAATAATAATAATAATAATAATAATAATAATAATAATAATAATAATAATAATAATAATAATAATAATAATAATAATAATAATAATAATAATAATAATAATAATAATAATAATAATAATAATAATAATAATAATAATAATAATAATAATAATAATAATAATAATAATAATAATAATAATAATAATAATAATAATAATAATAATAATAATAATAATAATAATAATAATAATAATAATAATAATAATAATAATAATAATAATAATAATAATAATAATAATAATAATAATAATAATAATAATAATAATAATAATAATAATAATAATAATAATAATAATAATAATAATAATAATAATAATAATAATAATAATAATAATAATAATAATAATAATAATAATAATAATAATAATAATAATAATAATAATAATAATAATAATAATAATAATAATAATAATAATAATAATAATAATAATAATAATAATAATAATAATAATAATAATAATAATAATAATAATAATAATAATAATAATAATAATAATAATAATAATAATAATAATAATAATAATAATAATAATAATAATAATAATAATAATAATAAAAATAATAATAATAATAATAATAATAATAATAATAATAATAATAATAATAATAATAATAATAATAATAATAATAATAATAATAATAATAATAATAATAATAATAATAATAATAATAATAATAATAATAATAATAATAATAATAATAATAATAATAATAATAATAATAATAATAATAATAATAATAATAATAATAATAATAATAATAATAATAATAATAATAATAATAATAATAATAATAATAATAATAATAATAATAATAATAATAATAATAATAATAATAATAATAATAATAATAATAATAATAATAATAATAATAATAATAATAATAATAATAATAATAATAATAATAATAATAATAATAATAATAATAATAATAATAATAATAATAATAATAATAATAATAATAATAATAATAATAATAATAATAATAATAATAATAATAATAATAGTAATAATAATAATAATAATAATAATAATAATAATAATAATAATAATAATAATAATAATAATAATAATAATAATAATAATAATAATAATAATAATAATAATAATAATAATAATAATAATAATAATAATAATAATAATAATAATAAAGAAACGGTGCTGTACTGGGATAGGCCAATAACAACGGACAGGACAGTCGACCACAATAGACCAGACATCGTCATTATCGATAAACAAAAGAAAACAGGATTGATCATCGATATAGCTGTACCACTGTCATACAACGTCACTAAAACCGAGACCGAGAAGATCAGGAAATATGAAAATCTGTCATATGAATTAAAGAACATCTGGAAACTAGACGAAGTCTCCATAGTCCCACTGGTGATGTCAGCGGAGGGAATTATATCGAAACACTTCACTAAAAATCTCCAAGATATAGGATTATCAAAAAACATAGTGAGATATGCACAGAAAGCAGTCATTTTGCAAACCTGCCACATCGTTCGCAGGTTCTTAAACGGTACCTAAGTGGGTTGAACTGAATTGTTTCCCTGCTAGGTTGTCCGAGCTCATACATTTTGTATAGCGAAAAATTATACCAGCATGTGCTGAGAACACGAAAATAATAATAATAATAATACCCGTCCCTTCCCCTACACAAGCCGTGTAGTCAATTTCATGGGTTGAAATTCACTCGTAAGGGGGTTAATTAGGGAGAGTATTATTATTTATTATATATAATATATATTATTGTGATGTTTGTTTATTTTACACAACAGTTTATTTGTAAATAATTTATTTAAAGACTTATTTATTTATAACAATACTATTCTAATTTATATACAGGGTGTTTCAGATTTAAACGGACACGGCTCAATGGAAGGTAGAGTACACTTAGCTGAGTTCAAAACACCCCTATACTTAGCCTTTAATCTTACTCGTTTTTGAGATATAGGGTGTTTTATGACTTTTTGCCAAAACTAAAATCGGCCATTTTGTTTGAACGGCTAGAGTTATGTTGATAAAACTTTGTACAAAAGTTAGGTTAATGAAAACATTAATTTAATTTTAAAAAATTCTAGGACCGGACTCTCTTTTTTTATATTGCTCTTCTTATAGCTAGAATATCACCCTGCATATCGGATTTTAGTAAATGTTACTGCACATTTAAATAGCACATGGATCAACAAATGAAATAATGTAATAATATTTAATGACACCATCTTGATGTTCTTACAATAAATTTTTATAATGGCGACTACATTATTATAAATCAGTATTTACAAAATTAAAATCAAATATTTTACCCTGTACTTTTAAAACTCTACACAAATTAGGTACCATCTTCATTTATTTTTAACTACTGCATTTTCCAATAAGAAATTGAACATCTACACAGGACCGGGCTCACTTTATTTGATAAAGTAACAACAAACTAACAGAAACAAATAATTAATTTAAACTAAAGTAAATTTTCAAAATAAACACCGTGAACGTCAATACATCTCTGCGAACGTTTTAACAGGTTTTTCACTGATTTGTAAATTATTTATAATGTTTATATTATTTTCTTTACTGTCCAGCGAAGATGAAAATACAGAAGGAAATGTGCCAATAAAACCACTGCCTGGATCACCCCATTCAATTCCAGGTACAGGCGAGCTACACCACGCAGCTCCTAGCCGAGTAGCTGTCATGACCACATTTCAGTTTACAAGGGCTAGAACAAGTCACGCAGCAGAAGAAGAGGGTGTCCTGAAAGGCTGGATGTGCTAAACTTTCATGTGGAGTATTCTACTATCGGTGATTCGGTAAAACTGAACTAGTTAAGGTGTGCGGACTCACAAACAATTGTTCGTCATAATAAGAATTTAGGGAATTTTTCTTGTTTAGTGATTATTGTAATCAATTCTATAGAGGAGATATCATGTTCAAATAGATTTTATTAAGGATAAAGCTCGGGTCGAGGCTTTGAACGTCGGGAGTGCATGTCATGCTAAACAAATATCACCCTATATATAAAATATACATTTTCTATTTTAATATACATTCGTTAAATTAAATAATTCAGCATAATATTTTATAAAGTGTTTGATAAACATTAGATGCAATTCATAAATAGACTAGACACGTACTAACCTTAATCGATTAATATAAAAATCGGTTGGGTGGACTATAATGAGACTCTTGGTCGGAACCCTAGACATTTTGGGTCTTTTATTTATGTTTAATAAATTGTTAATTGTTGCTCCGCTCTTTTATTTCCCCAAGTCAGGTAGCACATAGATTCACTATTTAAAGTGACTTCATCACGACCGAAAGGCCCGTGACAATACTACTACTTTAAAATTTTGTATTTTTGAATATTGGAGAATTTGTCGCTTTTTTTTGTAAATTTGTCATTTATCTCCTTTTTAAAATAACCCCTGGTAGTGCTAACTTCACGGTAAAGTTAGCACTACTAATCACGAAAATAAGCAAAAACTAAATTTTTTTATATAGATAATTTGTCGCTTTTTTGCGAAAAACCAAAATTTATCGCTCCTCCCTTTTTTGAAATAAACCCCTTTTAATGCTAATTTTAATGGAAATTAGCACTACTAATCATTTTGTCAAATTTCTCGAATACGGACCATTTTAGGAAAATTTTGCATAAAACAAAAATTATAGATAATTATATTAGAAGTAACTTTTATTTGAAGAATTTTCTTCTCCAAACGTAAATAACAGATATATTCCATAAAATATAAAAATGACCACCTATAAAGTACCCCCCCAGATGTTCCGACTCTGCCCAAAATCTAATCAGCTCATTGGACGCTGAAACAAAGCTTAAGTTTAAAATTTGGTGTTTTTCTGTGTATCGGTTCATGAGTTATGCGTTATACAGACACAGACACACACACACACACACACACACACACACACACACACACACACACACACACACACACACACACACACACACACACACACACACACACACACACACACACACACACACACACACACACACACACACACACACACACACACACACACACACACACACACACACACACACACACACACACACACACACACACACACACACACACACACACACACACACACACACACACACACACACACACACACACACACACACACACACACACACACACACACACACACACACACACACACACACACACACACACACACACACACACACACACACACACACACACACACACACACACACACACACACACACACACACACACACACACACACACACACACACACACACACACACACACACACACACACACACACACACACACACACACACACACACACACACACACACACACACACACACACACACACACACACACACACACACACACACACACACACACACACACACACACACACACACACACACACACACACACACACACACACACACACACACACACACACACACACACACACACACACACACACACACACACACACACACACACACACACACACACACACACACACACACAC